GTTGGAAACAACTTGAAGGCACATAACAGCAACAATATGGTTACTCCTAGATATACCAATGATCAATTTGGGTTCCATATTTTGAACTAACTGAAATTTCTAAACTTGGCACAGGGTAGCCCAATGTACAGCCCACTGCAGAAGTCCAGTGTTGAGGTTGCCAGCATATGCACCATCATTTCTAGGTCCTCCAGTTCTAGGAATGACAATGAAAGCTCAAAATAAGCACTAACACAGATGATGTAAAGGGGATGTGCACTTTTGAGCACTTTGCTTGATATTGTTAACTTCTGGTCTGTTGTAATGCTCTAATAAGCTTCGATATTGTGTAGAACAAAGATAATGGAATCATAGACTCCAAGAGTTGGAAGAGACCCCAAGGGGCATCCAGTCCAACCCCCTTCTGCCATGCAGGAAGACACACTCAAAGCCTCCTCCCTGGGACAGATGGCCATCCAGTTTTGGTTTAAAAACAGCCTCCAAAGAAGGAGACTCCTAATGTTGAGGAACATGTAGCTTGCATCAATTGCTCCATGTCTATTCTCTGAAGTTGCAGAAAACAAGCTTGCTCCATCCTCAATATGACATCCCTCCAAATATTTGAATAGGGCTATCATGTCACTCCTTAACCATCTCTTCTCCAGGCTAAACATACTCAGCTTGGGGGTTTCTAGACCTTTAAGATACGCATACAATGAAGTCAAGGAAATAATTGAAAAAAGAAGATTCTGGAGGGATATCCATTGGATCTCTCCCTGCACCCCACTTTTGAATTGTCCATGGACATAGATGCCCTTTGACATCGCTTGCGAGTTTCCAGAATCCAAGAAGACAGGCCTGTGTCTCTGACCCATCAAGGCTCTTCTGAAAGCTGGAAAAAAATGACCTTTTTTCAGCTGTAAATCCCAGAATCCCCTAGCCAGCTGCTTATTCTCTAAATGTTTGGGTTTTGGGAAATTCTAGACAGGCTAGCTAAAGCGGGTGTCTACTTCTATGGACAATTCAAAAGTGGAGAGACTCCAACTCTCTGGCTGGGATGTTCTGGGGGTTATAGTCCCGAAAGCCCAAACTCTGGCTGTTTTGTCACTTCTTACCTCGGCGGTGACATGCCTTCTAGGTTGATGTAGTGTTGTTTGTGTGCTTTTTCTTTTTACACTTGGCAAGAGCGGAGTGTTAAAGAAATGTTAAATGGCAGGAACAGAAGGCATGCCTCCCCCTTCAATCTCTGTCCCAGCTGTGCCTGAAGGTGCGATTTGTCCAGCAGTTTGCTTATATTGCACTGCTTAGCCCTGGACCGGACACCTGCTTAATTTGATTTAAATGTAGCTTTCATCAATTTATCTTAATTTGCTGAGAAATTAGGTTTGCGCTTAAATGAGCCTCAATCGCTCCATTGTCATGGTAGCTTTGTCTTCTGTTTTCCTTGCCAAAGCAAGGTTAGCATTGCAGGAGATCCTTCCTTCCTTCCTTCCTTCCTTCCTTCCTTCCTTCCTTCCTTCCTTCCTTCCTTCCTTCCTTCCTTCCTTCCTCTCTTATTTTAACCTGGGAGGCTTTGGGAGATGGAAGAGTTGAAAGGAAGCATCTAGACAGACAATTAGAAGGAGCTACAAAAGCAAGACAAGACCTATCATCCATTCCCCTCTGTAGATGCTCTGGACAACAGGAAAACTTGTAGAGTTCTTTCTTCTTCTTCTTCTTCTTCTTCTTCTTCTTCTTCTTCTTCTTCTTCTTCTTCTTCTTCTTCTTCTTCTTCTTCTTCTAAAATAATAATTAAGTATTTGCTTAAAAAGACTAACCAGGAAAGGCAGGTACTTAATGCATATGGACCTCTCCTCCTCCCCCCTTTATAAATCAATTTTTATTTGTTTTATAACAACAATACAAAACATAATACATAAAGAACAAATAGCCTTGGAGGACTATATGTAAACATGCATAGTATCTACCTTTTGTGGGGTAATAGCAGTAACAAGGTCCAAAAGACATCACTCCGATTCACTAGTTGATGAAGTTGGGATCAAAGTATCTTCCCAAAAAATAGCTTGATGGGTAGGAAGTCTGATAGCAAATGAGTTGGTCTTGATGTAATCAATAAACACTGACCAAGCCTCACAAAAAGGTGTCCAGTTTCTTTTGTCCATTACAGAGTTGAAAAGTATAAGAAAGTTTTTCCAATAACCAAATGTCCCAAACTCTTTTCCCTGTTTTCCAGCTTCTTGCAATTACATTCCTGGCTGCTGAGATGTTATCCTTTGCAAAGAATGTGATCTTGCAAGGGAACTACCATCGTACGATGACATTTTATTGCCTACCTCTGAGGCTGAGAGAGTGTGACTCACCCAAGGTCACCCAGTGGGTTTCATGGTCAAGCTGGGAATTGAACCTTGGTCTCCAGAGTTGCAGTCCAATGCTCAAACCACTATGCCATGCTGGCTCATTCAGGGTGCATCTACACTGCAGAATTAATGCAGTTTGGCACTGCTTCAACTGCCATGGCTCAGTGCTATGGGATGCTGGGATTCATAGTTGCATGAGATATTTAGCCTTCTCTGTCAGACACAACAAACTAGAAACCCCAGTATTCCATAGCATGGAGCCATGACAGTTAAAGTGGTCTCAAACTGCATTCATTCTGCACCCAAGACTCGATTTGTATCTTGTGCTGGAGGCTCAGTCCTCTACTCCTTAGTGCCAAAAAAGAAGGAATTGCCCTTACATCCATGTTTAAGGGTTTGCTCTTTGTGGGCCTTCCTTCAGTTGGTCAGTTATCCCAAACAACAGCGGAGAAAAGGAGACGCTAGCTGCGGCGGAAGGTCATTTTGCGTAAACTCTTTGTTTTGTCCTGGTTTCCTCTCCTTCATCGGAGAAGTTGGCTTTCCAAAAAAGCCACACCGAAGCTTCCAGAAGCTCATCAGAAAAAGCCAGCCAAGTTTTCCATTGTGAGAAACTCCATGGAGGAAAAAAACCGAAACTTAAGAACACAACCCATTAATCTTTCTTTCTAGCCTTTACAAAAATAGGTTTCTCTACAACGGCATGAAGAGAGGAGCTGTTTGATATTGGGATCAGACATCGGGAAAGGCTTCCACACATCAGTCCGGGCACAAAGCTCTCTTGCTGGAAAGCTTTTGTCCGTCGGTTCACCTCTGATGGGCCAGCGGCAATATTTTCATTTTTGTATGAATGCACATTTCCTGCAGCTCATGTTCTGAGGGAAGAAGATCCCAACAGGTGTTTAGATAATAGCCGCAGCAAAAGCGTCCCTTTTGTCTGCCCTTGAGACAAAATAATAATGCACGGTTGTCTTCTTTAAAAACTTATAGGAACTGTAATGAAGGATGGAGAGTCTTCTCTTTTGAACCTCTGGACTTTTCATAGTAGCCAAGGTCTTGGATCCAGTTGTTAGTCTCCTTGAGGGGAGATTGAGCCAATCCTTTGGACTTCAATGAAGGTTGACATTCCAGCAATGCAAGCCAGTGTGGTGTTGTGGTTTATGGGACTCTGAGAGACCAGGGTTCAAATCCCTGCTCGGTCATTGAAACCCACTGGGTGATCTTGGGCGAGTCACCCTCTGTCAGCCTTAAAGGAAGGCAATGGTGGCCAACCTCCTCTGAAGAAATCTGGCCAAGAGAAAAATTGAAGAAGGTTGACATAACTCAAAACTGACTTGAAGACACATAACAACAACGCATACATGTTGAGAGCCAGTGGCTTGATTGTTGGACAAAGACTCTGGGGGACTAGGGTTCAAATCCCCACTCAGCCACAGAAGCCCAACTCACTTGGGCAAGTCACCTTCGCTCAGTCTCAAAGAAAGGCAAGGGTGAAACTCCTCTGGATAAATCTTGCCAAATTTTACTGTCCCCATTACTCTGATCATCCAATAGGTCAGTGGTAGGTCTTGCTGCAGTTCCAGAAGGTTATGTGTTCTGTTCCTACTAAGAAGTTGCCACTCCTGTTAATCTTGGCCATGGGAAAGTACAGGAAAATGCCCTCTGGCTCCCCCAAGTGTCCCTTTCAGATACTGCAGCCCCATGACAGATTCACTTTAGAGTCTCCATAAGTCAAAAACAGTGGGGTGTCTCTGACTGGCCATTGAGTGGTTGGGGAGGATAAAGGGGAGCATGGCCAGGCAGTGGTTGGCTGGAGTTTTGCAGTTGGCTGCAGGAAGAAACAGACATCTTCTTGACATTTTGCGGGGTCCTCCATCAGTCTGGACATTCGGTGTCATCTTTGTGTGTCTGGCTGTAGAAACACAGCCAGACACACTGCTTGGTGGCCCTTGGTCCTCTGCCTTTCCCTGGCCCTTAATGGTTGTATGTGTGTGTAAGTTGTGCATGGGGGAGGATGCATAGCTATGCCCAAGGAGCTCTATGTTTTGCTAGTGCAATCTAGGATCCCAGCCCATGGATTATTATTATTATTTTGTTGTTTACATTTTGCTGTTACTTTTTGCTGTTTGTGAGAGGTGGGCAGAACAGATGGGGTGGCAGCCATTCCCTAGCAAAGGATTGCACCTCTAATTAAAAACCTTTTTGACTCTCTTTGCTAATGAGGCCTTCCGTTGCTCCAACCGTGTAGGCGGTTGATGGATCCGGGGCCAACGCGAGGCATGAATGGAGCAGCTCTCTATGCTGCAATATGTTTTTGTGCTGTTTCCACAACACAAGGCTATTTTCCAGCTATCCTAAAACAAAACAAAACAAAACAAAAAAACCCAACACTGAACAGAGGAGAAATGCAAGTTGGAGAAAATCTCCATATGTATCCTCAACTCTCTTTGCAAAAACGGAAGTCTGCCTTCCCCTAATTGGATGCTTTAGAAACATTTCCATTTTCTGCTTGTTTGCAATTAGGAATTTAGCAAGGAAGACAAAGTCGTACATTCTGTAAATTAACAGTTACATGTTTGATACGAGGAACAGAATCCCCTTGGGTTTTTCATGTGTGTTTGTTTCCCTCCAGACGGGGTTGGATATTCTTGCTGATATGGAACATTTGCATTCAGTTCAGGGCTGAGGGACTAGAGGTCTCCATGCAAGGCCATTGCACATGGATGAACACCCGACATGCATATTTTGTAGACATACGTGAATGCATGTGCACATTGCACATGCAGATGAGCATGCACATTTGGCTGTGCAACCTTGCAATTCACTAGTGAGGTGGCCTTGCAGAACTGCTCCGTCCCTTCGGTGCTGGATCTCAGCCACTATTTATCTGTGGGACTTAGATATTTCATTTTTTTTAGAAGTGTTTTACAAATTTAACGTATTAAAATGTGCTTATTTTCTGGATTCAGCCATTAGCAATTCAGATTTGCATGGTGTTTATTCTTTAGTTGCAAACTGGCAATTGGACTTTGAACATGAGGAAGGAACAGACATGGTTTGGATGGGAGATGACTTCGGCCTTTCTCTGCTCTATAAGAAAACCTGCAACTTTTATAGTAGTCTTCTGTCCAAATATTTCTCCGTCTGGTAGACTGCTCCTCTGTTGATCAGCAGCTTCATGATAAGAAGACACCAGGAAACCTCTCAAGAGCTGACCTGTTTGAAGGAGCCAAATCTCTTTGCTGGAGGATGGGTTCATATGCATTAAAAAGCTAGTCTGTAGTAGAAGAAAGAATTATATCTTGCTTCATATATCTGGAACCCATTAATCTCTCTTTTCCCAATTTAGCTTTCCACTTGGGGTCAGAAAATGTTGCTGGAAGACCACTATTTTCCCAGAAATGTTAGACCAGCGCTGCAGGATTTTCCCCAGGTGATTTTCCTGCATTAAAGGCAGCATGGTGTAGTGGTTTGAGCATTGGACTATGACTCTGGAAGATCAGCGCTATGGAAACCCATTGGGTGACCCTTGGTCAAGTCAGTCTCAGAGGAAGGCAAAGGCAAGCCAAGAAAACCCTGCAATAGGTTCCTTTTAGGGTTGCCATGAGTTGGAAATGACTTGAAGACACACAAGAACAAAGTGGAGCCCACAAATTGCCTCTTAGTTATACAAAACAATCAGGTAGTGAAAGGAGTACAAACATTCCCCTCTCCGGCTCTAATAATTTTTGTTGCAGTACTTGCTGCTTTTCTATTATTTTTAAAAAAAGGCATAGGATTGATAGGTGAATGGCATACCCCTCCTCCCACAAAAACCCTGTCTAAGTGCCTCTAAAAATGTTCTTTTTAAGTACCTCCTGAAAGCAAGTCAACAATCTTACTCATTATTTGTTGTTCCAGTAAAATGGCTTCATTCTGGTACATTGCATTACTTTTGAAGTGGGAGCTGTTTACTCACATTTCGCTCAAAAACTAACTCAGTGCAAAGATGGATCCACACTAGATGGCTATAGCACTTCGACTCCATTTGAAACTATCCTTTGGAACCAGGAGATTTGTAGTTCAAGGTGGGAGACATTTGGCATTTATTGCCAGAGATTGCTCAAATGCGGAGGTTCAGGGGCAGGGACTGGAAACTTCTAACACCACCAAAAAAGCCACAGATCTGAGGACAGCACAGGATGGTGCTGTGGCACTCATGGTATGAAACTGCTATAGTTGTGCAGTGTAGATATAACCCCAGGCAATAACATTGTTGGTTAACTCTGGGTGCATCTGCACTGTAGAAATAGTGAAGTTTGACACCACTTTAAGTGCTATAGCTCCATCCAATGGAATGCTAGGATTTGTGGTTTTGCAAAGTCTTTAGCTTTTGGGTGCCTCACAAAACTACAGATCCCAGAGTTCTGTAGGATGGTTAGACACGGCAGTTCAAGTGGTGCACCCCAAGACCTTCTCGCCAAACCACATATCCCAGGGCTCTGTAGGATGGTTAGCCGTTGTGTCAAACTGCATTATTTCTACCGTGTAGATGCATCCTCAGTGTCTGAGAATCTACGTCAGGCTTGGAGAGTGTAATCTGAAGGACACTTAAAGAGAGCTATCCTGTCACCTCTCTGTCTTTTCTCCTCCAAGATAAACAAGATAAACATCTCCACCTCCACAGTCCCACAACATAGAAATGGCCATGTGGAACGGTGGAGGGTGCATCACCCAAAAGGTGGGGTTTGGGTATGTGTGTCATTTTGGTCCTTTCAAGAAGCCCATCTTTCACAGTGACCCCCAAAATGGATTACCTAAATTGGATTTACACTATCGTAACTAGTTGCATGCGAAACTGCTACACTTGTAGAACTCCACTTACACAACTGTGAGTATGTCCTTTGTGCAATGGCTAAAAGGGCACAACTAAATATATAGTATTAGTAGTAGTAAGTAGTAGTAAAAGTTTATTCGGTCATCGACCAGCAATAACTACATATATATATATGCAAAGGGAGAAGTGTGCATGCATGACACCAACAGGATGATGGCCAGTATTTGCAAAGGCTGGTTTTGTTGCTGGGCAAGTTTGAGAAGATGGAGAGAGAGAGAGAGAGAG